TATATTAAATAGGACCAGCTGGCCAGTCTGCGCTCCACAAACTGTAATTTTTTTTCTAATTTTATATTATTATTGGTTCTGTATATTATATACGACTCGAATAGTCGAAATTTAAAATTATTTATTATTATAATATATATCGTTATTTTTATTATTGGTTGTGCCGAACCGGCAATTACATCTATATATTTTTATTGTTTTGAGCCAAAAGGGCTATTTATTATTATTATTATTATATTATTATAGCTCTAATAAGTCTAATAGCTACTTTATATTATTATATTACATTTTGTTGTTGTGGCTCTAATAGTTACCTCTTTTTATTATATTTTTACTTGTTGGGCCAAAAGGGCCGTAACTTATTTAATATATTATCACTTCATATTTTTATATATATTTTTTTATTTACCGTAACAGAGTTACCTGATTGTCCTTATTTTTTAAGTCATACACACAAACATATATACACACAGACACACACCACCCACACACTAGCACTCACAGGATTTGCTCGGCGAACCTGTCCACTTCCTGTTGAGTGCTATACACATATATACACACATACACAGGTCGGTCAGTGTGTAACCGTATAACAGCGTAATAACATTTGGTGACCGGGCGCGCACACTTATTATTAAATGCTCCCGGCCCGTACACATTGCTTCATAAATTGGAGGGAAACCCAATTGATCACTCCAATAATCCCTCACATTTGGTACATGGCACACTGAAGCATATAAACATATACCTACATACCTTTTTAGTTCAATAATAGATACACAGATACAGATATGGTTTATTTGGATTTTTTTGCGTTGAGAATAATTCTGATTCGTTTTTTATTTTTTCAAATAATTCATCAGTGAAAAAATATGAAAAAAAAACTGCAGTGGTGAATTAAAATTCAAAATATTAGTTGGTAAAGTCACTGGATTGTGTACTAAACTGACATCATTAGTTATTAGGTTACCTTTCTTCCATTTTAAGTTTACTGGTTTCTGAGGTTGTTGAACTTTAGATATACATATGTTAGCAGGAATAGGAGGATTAATATTAGGAGATGGCGCTTGTCCCTGGGAACTGGTTTGAGATTGCGAAATAGTAGGAATAAAATGATTAGTAACATTGTTATGAGATCTCAAAGCCCTACTATTAGATGACAAAATATTTTTATTGATAGCAATATTATTTATATTTTCATCAGATGTAGCAATAGATGAACAAGGTTCAGCAATATCATTACTAAAAGGAATACTAACAAACTCGCCGTTTATATTAGCTATTTCAATAGGCAAATTATTGATATCAATAAATTCTACATTACTAACGTTTTCAAATGTATTTTGTACCTTATTACTATCTAAATCATTTTCACCTTTAGAATGTTCAAATTCATCTTCACTTTTTTCCCATTCAGTTAATAATGCAGTTATTTCAAAATCGTTTAAAGCCATTAAAAAAAACTAACTCAACACTTATATAAAAACAAAAAGTAAGTTTGTATAAAAATAAAATGAATGACAATATTGAAGATAAACCTAATATATTATTAGCGCACAGTTGCTTTCAAGCAACAAATATTATTAGTCTTATAAAAATAAAACTGCCCATTATAATGTTATACAAATTACATTTAATAATTATTGATAACATGAACAAATAAATAATAATTTTTATTTAGTTTATTTTAACATTTAGATCGGCTAAATGATAGTAGGAAAAAGTGCACATGGAGCATGGCAATATCTTACAGGCACCTCACTTTAAAATAGCTGTACGCAATATTATTATTAATAAAATAAATATTAAAATGTGATAACTGGCTATTATAGTATATTAATATTCCCATAGATGAAGTTGGTATCACTATATACGAAATATTTATGTTTTATTAACAGTTATTTAAATTGTTGCCTAGAAGCAACACGGCGCATTGATGGGTTAAATATTAGTTTAAGCAATAAGCATTGAGGAATTGATGTGTTTAAATTAAAAGTGATTAGTTTTGTTAACCATTTTATGCTACTCGTATTTGTATATTAATGTTTATAATAAAGTTTCTATCGTACAAAAATAAACTTTTATTTTGTTCGTAAACTATAAACAAGTGGCCTACAAGGCACAAAATGAACCAGCCCATAAGGAAAAATCCCAATTTTCCGATAAGTAAATCCACCACTAGCCAGAGGTGTTCCCAATATTTTTTTTGAGAGTATACTAAGACTCTAGTCAAGGTGAAGATCCATGATTTAAATAAGGGAGGGTAGAATGATAAAAATAGAACCTTTTTTTAAGTATTTAAAAATACTCATAAATATTTTTAAAATAAAAGTAATAAACATGAATATTTAATAATATGCAAATATTTTTACTGTGGTCTATAATTATAAAGGATGTGTTAAAAATATGAAAAAAAAATCAAACTTTTAAAAAAAGCTTGAAATTACCTTTATAAGTCAATAAAATATGAAAATATACAAATAATAAAAAATTTAATTAAATAAATTGTTAAAAAATAATTTCTGCATCTTATTTTCGTCGTCTATTTCTTTTCTTTCTTTACCTCTAGGAGTGGAAACGGCAGAACGGTGATCTCTTAACCAAATTTTAATATAAGGTCTAGGATTAAAATCTGCAACTGAAGGGCCATTGATAGAGATGAACATCAAATCTGACACATTTTCAATGTTTAAGCTAGTCCTTAAATCAGTTATTGTCAAATTCATATCGGAAAACCCTTGTTCACAATCAGCTGTTGAAGTTGGGAGTATATTTAATGCTTTCATGAAACTAGAAAAAACATTTCTTGAACGGAAGTCAACTACACTTTCAAATTCAGAAAAACCTAATGTCCGTGATACTCTTTTAACTTCATCTTCTCCCTTTGCGTCATTAGTTGCTACTTTGAACACTTCATCAATTACCTATAAAATAAAAGACGATTTATTAAAATATTCATTTATTCTGTTTAAATAATCAAAATATTGAAATAAATTATCAAAATAATAGTTTTTTTCTTTACCTGAATGTCTTCTAGCATTGTTTTATTTTTTGAGTCATCAAATAAGCGTTGACGCATTCTGTCTACTAAATTTTGCAAAAATTGTAACCTGTTAATCCCTCCTGATTTTGTCATTGTAATATTGACACCTTTGTGAATTCCTTTCTAAATAGCTTCTATAATTTCCTTTTCTTTTTCCCCAGGTTCAGCTTTCAGACTTTCTAAAATTCTAATCGTTCTATTTATCTCCGACTGGGCACGCATTAGAGTTGTTTTTCTGGACTGTAATATACAAGATAACATTGCAAGCTTAGAAAGAACATCGTAAATAAGTCCAAGTTCCTCCCAAAAAGAAGAGGATTCTAATTTTTTTTTTTATGCCATTTGATGTCACATCATATGTTTTACTAACATGTAAATATATTCCCGGATAATTATTCCATATGGCTTTTATAGTTCGAAAACTGCTTGCAGGCCAGCGTACATTCAAAACACGACCTATTTTTTTCATTTCAATGCCTACTTCAACACAAGATTTATCTAAACCCATTGAATTTTTAGGACTTTGATGATAGTAAGCATAGAGTTTGTCCATTAGACTTTGGAAACGAGAGACTCCTATACAATCTTTTATTACGTCATATACTGATAGTTCGAGACGATGACATAAACAATGCCAGGTAAATAGATTCGGAATTTTTTCGCGTAGTTTAGTAGCAACTACAGCTTTCTTACCCGTCATTACACTTGCTCCGTCACTGGCAAAAGCAATCCAGTTGTTTAATGCAAACGATGTTGATATCCCATTACATTCTAAACTTAACCAAATAGATTTTTCGATAGTTTCAGCATCTTGTCTATCTAACTCAATCAAGTCTAAGAATGCTACAACGTGCGATTCTGCGTCAAAATATGATGAAATATACAAAATTAGTGTACATTTGGTACTCAGCGTTGTTGATTCGTCAATCATTATGGTAAATTTCGAATTCGACTGTATAAGGCATAAAATAAGTCGTTTGCGCATCTCCTTTGCAATGACGTTTACCATTCGAGTGGCAGTTATTCTGCTATGTAAGGAAGATCCCATGTCCAATCCATTGATTTGTTGTAATTGAACAAGTTCTTCAAACTGTTTAAAGCGACGGTGATTTTTTGCTAAGCAATATACAGTTCTAAAAAGTCGCGTATTGGAATCAATCTCTACTTTAGATATACGTTCAAACATTTTATCTAATACTTTGTCTGAGTTTTTTTTTTAATATGTTTTCAGCTAACACATGAGCTTTGCTTTCTGAATGTTGTTTAATTTTATTTCTTAATGATGCCAGTTGATTTGTACGATTACACTCAGCAGCTACGATTTCAAAGCCTACCCACTCAGAAGAAATTCAAACTTTGCTATCGATGTTAGATTTTTGAAAATTGATACTATTTTTAGCTTGAATGCAATTATTACATCCTAGTTTCCCATTTTTGCTACTTAACCATGAGTTTTTCTTTCGAAACTCTATAACCTGTTCTTTTGTCCATAATGCAGGCCAAATTTTGGAAGTATCCCATACATCTTGTATTTGATTATCGATTTAACTATCACTAACAAAATTATCTTCATTGGGCATCACTAGCTCGTGTGAACTAGTAGCACAAATGGCAGTATTAGTCGCATTTTTAGGTTTTTTTTTCTCAGGGCATAAAAAAACTATCAAGTGTTCCGCTTTCACGTTTAAAATTCAAACTCATATTTTGATAAAAATAACACTTTATACAGTAAAACAGATTAGGATAGTTAATTAAACTCAATTAAATAAATTAATAAAACTGCTCAAATAAAATGAATACGTTAGTAAATAATTATTAATAAAAGAATTAAGAACTTATTCACGGTAAACAAAGAACGGTAGATCACACAACGCACAATCGATTTATAAAAATAATAAAATGTTACAAGTCGGCGGTAACGGATGTACTGATTAAATTAATCGTGTTCAGAGTCAGACGCATTTCCATCATCTAACGCGATAGTTCGTTTCTTGTTTTCTGAGAATCTAATAATAGTTGTAACTGTTGTAAGATATAAGTGTCATATTTTCGTTATCATTGTCATAAATAATAATTGAAGTATAAATGGCAAAAATGTGATTTCAAACATAGACGAAATTTACTTTCGTAGCATTTTCTGAGTAACCAAAACCAGTTTTTTTTTTTTGTATATAATTTGAGAATATACGCAGTATACCCATAGTTCTGACAAAATATCTTGAGAGTATACGGCATATATGTAGTATACCCTATGGGAACACCCCTGCCACTAGCCATAACTGTAGTTTAAAGGGTCATAAATTGTTGTGCATTGTGCAAGGCACAGAATGACTGAAATACTGAATTAATATAAAAAAAGGAAAAACACCGATGTTTTTTCGATGTTTTGAAATTTTTATATTAGTTTTTCCTTAAATAATAAAAAAAAATAGGCCGAAAAATCCTTTTTTTTTTGCTTATTTATATGAAAATTTGTGAAAACATTAAATATCGAAAAACATCGATAGTTTTCTCGAAAATCCGATGTATCGACAACATCGCTGTATTAAAAATTTTGCCCATCTCTATAGCTATGAACACATATATATATAAATACATAAGTTGATTTTATTTACCAACTATAATATGATCAGTCTCGCGGCGACACTCGTTCGATACACACGCGTCTTTCTGCGCTCCGTATATATACAATGTATTTCGCTCGTGTCTATTCGTTTTTTTTTTCACTTTTTTTTGAAACTTAAACCAAAATACGTATAGTGTTTTTCTTTCAGCTTGTCTTTCTACACAGAGACAACAGTAAGCTCAATTCATTCACTAAGTGCTCTAAAGCTTATTAATTTAAATTATTCATTACGTTATACTATAATTCACAATATTGCATAACACACACACACACACACACAGGTACCGGCCGATGCGGCACCTCTTATCGGAAAGTCGCAGAGTCACACGCAACGATTAACGGTTCAACTACTTATCTTCAGTGATAGTAATATATATATTTTAATTAATTACCTTCATCATGACCAAGAAAAACACAAACTCACAATCTAATGTTAATAACACCCAAACTTCCAAAAAAGCAACTAAACCGATCTCGATTAAATTAACCAACACAGCTGATGGTTGGAAAACGGCCCAACAAAATAAATACTGCTTTCTAGTTCATCAAACTCACAACCTGACTCCCCCGCCTCTCCTAAAACTAATAAAACTAAACTTTACACCATTCACTATTGCAGCTATATCGTTGTCGTCATCGCAAAAAGTGACCAAGTGAAATAACATTATCAAATGTGTTATTTGAACCACATTATTGTACGGAAAAAATGACCAAGTTATATGATCAATATTTTTACAAGATATAGAAAGACTGTTTTAACCAACTGCAGATTTCTAAACTATTTTCCTAGCAAAAAGTGATCAAGTTATTTAGTCATTTTTCGCATATTAATATCAAGTATATTTAAAAATATTGTTTAAGCAAAAAGTGACCAAGCCTCAATCAAAAGACATGGTTATAAATTATGAATATCACATCCAAAGACGTGATGAATATTTTACTTCTAAAACATTAGACAAAGAACGAACTACAAAAAATAACCAATATTTTTGTAATGCCACATTTGACCTGCAAAGTCTTCTCCAAATTCCAAGTTCTGAAGTATCAGCCATGTACTATAATAGAAAACTTCGTGTACATTATACGAGGCTGCTCCACCAAATAATGCATTTTGCTTTTTATGGACAGAAGTCAACGGTCAAAAGGGAAGCTCTGAGATTGGATCAGCATTGATAAAGTGGATTTATCAACTTCCTGAAAGTATTAAAGGAATTTTTCTATATTCTGATATATGCAGTGGGCAAAACAGAAATCAATTTATTGCTGCATTATTTTTATATGTCATAACTCATATAAAAATTGAAGTACTTCACCATAACTTTAAGGAAAGTGGTCACTCATATCTTTCCGTGTGTTGCGGGGTCGATCAGTTCTTCCGGGCTGCCCCGGAGACACTCGGCCACTTTGTATAACCGCGAGGTTATCTCTTTCAGGCAGTAACTTCGGATGACTTCGGGGGTCCCACCCGGGGCGCCGCCTCACCTAGGGAGCCATAATGAGTGACCGCCGTGGCCAGGGCCCGATAGATTATCGCCTGAGTCAAACACCTTCTACTAAGGCGGTACTCCCACAACCACCACGAGTTCTTCCTCAAGTGTGCCTTTCCCGGTGCAGGCGAACGCGTGTCCTCGGTGAGTCCACGCGGTCGAGCGTCTAGGGACCGGCACCCCCGGAGCATCGAGGCCGAATTAGCAAGCCGATTCAACGGGGCTTACTCTGAGTCCCGTGGTACGACGTTCGAACCCGGCGTTCAGGCCCTCGCAACTGCCTTGTCCGCAAGCAGGTCGATCGGGGCACTGCTGTGTGTACCGCGACGACCCCCTTTTAGTGCGTATGGTTTTGATCTTAATCGACAGATTGCCGTTTCTGCCGGTGCCTCTCTCGTATCAAGCCCCGAGCCGGCTGAATACGTGCACGTGCTTTGCCCGAAGGGTGGTCTGGCCCCTCTAGTTCGAGCTCTCAGTCTAGGCAAGAATTTATTCATACGGAATGAGGGCACCCAATTTGTCCCACGAGATGTCCCATCCGTCCCGCCACTGTGGGAAGCGGGCATTCAGCCCGTCTCGCGAGGTATCCCGTCCATCACCTCGGCTAGACGGGTCTTAGTACGGAGGGCGTTCGACGATCCTGTGGGGGGGCCGTCTTAGGGTCCCGCTTCGACTGCCACTATCCGGTACTTCGCAGGCTTTCGCCCCGCCGCCATCGATGACAGCGACAGTCGTTCCGGCTAGGCCCACTCGGACGATTTGTGCCCGCGTGGATAGGGGAGACTGTCCCCATGTCTCTGGCAGTGCGCCGTGCCCTGTACGTACGCCCTCTAGCCACACGCCCGTCCGCTATGGTTTTAAAATTAGGGGTCCGGGTCGTGTCCGCGGGATCGTCCTACGTCTCTACGTTCTAGGACTTCCCGGGAGAAGTTTTTGAACGCAAGGAACATGGCTTCCGTGGAGGTCATGGTATTGCAGTCGCACGGCCAGTCCACACCTTCCGCTTGCGATGCGGCTGCGAGCTTGCCTCTTTCCTGTCTACGTGTGTAAACGGTAATCGAGAACACTCAATATCTTTGCGTAGAGACCTGATATTTGAATTCTGTTTTTTTGGCAGTTGTTATGACATAAAAATACACATTTTTATGGTCTTTGAATTTTTTTTACTTAACTAGTCACGCGTATGCGCATGTCAACTTTTTTTTTTTAAATGGCAACCCCCTGCTTTAACCACTAATTATTTTTCACCTATTTTTTTAATGAATTTTGGTAGTTGAATCAACTTTCTAAGTCCAAAATTGACTAAGTTACAGCAATTCAAAAAAAAAAAAAAAAAATTAGAAAAAAAAATGCTCTCGATTTTCAGCTTTTTAATTGTAACTCTGAAAATAATTATTATAGGATTGTTAAAGATTGACATTTTCATAACTATTTATTATGGTGATATTAATACGTTAGGTTAACTTCAATTACTGAATAATTTTTTCTTTAGTTTGTGTAATAAATCATAACTTATTATTGCAGAAAAAACGTAAATTAGTATGTTGTTTATTTCTTTACATTTAATGGATCTATTAGAACGTATTAATAATTAATAACAAATTCAATTCTTATTTAAGTTACCTATTTATTTAGTTAATAAAAATCTAAAAATAAAAAAAAATCTAACGAATAAATTGTTCAAACTGTTCTCCGCCGTGAACAAAACATGTTTCAGCGCGCCGCATAAATTCTTTATTTGTTGCAGCAGTAATTTGTTCATCAGTCAGTCGATTGCATGTTGCTGTTATCTTATCTTTTAAATTTTGAAGATTTATAGGAGGATCGGCATACACTATTGTTTTCAAGTGTCCCCATAAAAAAAAATCTAGTGGCGTAAGGTCAGGTGATCGTGGTGGCCACTCAATGGGTCCGTATGTTCCTAGTCATCGTTTTTGAAATTGTGCATTTAAATAGTCACGAACTATGTGAGCATTGTGAGCTGGAGCACCGTCGTGTTGAAAAATAATATTACCTCTCAAAGCTAAAGGAATATCATCAAGCATCATTGGTAATTCATTTAGTAAAAAAATT